CTTTGTTTACTTCTGGGAACATATTGACATCACTATGTTAGCACTCTAACACATTGTATGTGATATGCTTAGGGGCTGGACATTTCAGACAAATCTCTCTAGGTTGACCAATCACAACAGAGCCAACCAGTTCAGAGCAGACTGGGCTCTGGTTTCAGACAGAGGGTGAAAGGAGGTGCTGCAGCACAGGCAGTAGGAGAAAAGTAAAGAGCTTTTTGAACATTAAAGAACGTAGATGCCACAGTAGAGGCAACAAATACAAATATGAACCTGAAAAGGACCATAATAGGGCATATTTAAAACCAAAAGGTTACACCTCATCTCAAACTCTTGAGGGTAATGTATACTTATACTCTTCTATACAAATACTCAACTTAGAATAACACCATATGTCATTGCAAAATGGCCTACAACATACAAAAATGTTTGCGACGGGGCTCCGTCATACTACTCATTATTACGGCTACCATATCGCACTTATAAAACTGATACAAACGTGGAGGTCAGTCTCGTATTAGCTGCCAACTGGCTAGCAAACGTACATGGTTAAAAGAGTTGCTTAAAAATGATTAGAACATAGAAATACAGTATGAACATGACTAGTCTACGATACCAAAATAACAACAGCAGCTTACCTGCAACATGACACTAGTAATAAATAGCATCCTACTCTCAACTCTAAATACAATACACACTTTCTTTCCATGAACACAAAGGAAACATAACAAAAGTCTATAATCTCGCACTGCTTGGAAATTATTTTGTAAAATATGACTGTTTGTGCCACAATAATCTTTAAAGACATTTTTATTTTTGGGGCCTGCTTAGATCGCACTGTGTTAGTAGAGGCTTGACATATTGGAGAGTAACATTCTACACGAGTCACTAACCTGCTTGGTGAGAGGTACGAAGGCCTATAATATATACTAAATGATATCTCTGCATGCCTCCTTACCTTTATTCCTCTTGCTCTTTCCTTACCCACTCCTAAGGTCAAAAATAATGGGCGCTGAAAATGAATGAAGCACCGTGTTGAAGATGTTGGGCAGTTTTACTTTGTGGTTCGGAAAAGTGGAGAAGCCTCTAAAAGCAGCATCCACACACACAAAAGACATTACTAGAGGAAATTCAGGCTTTTTATATTATCACTACAATTATAACAACTGAATTAGTGATGCTTTAATTTTTTTTCCAGTGCTCTACATTCAACTTTCTTATGGTCAAAGAAACATGGGTTAGGGTTAGGGTTATGGTCATCAATGTGACAACTTTGAATGTCTTGTTGAGTCTGACAAACAGTGAAATAACCCGTTTGTAAAACATTCTCACTCAATTGTCTTCAATGATTAATCAATTATCAAAATACTTGCCAATAATCTTTCAATGTATTGTTTAACTGCTGAATCATTTAAACTCTACTCTGAATTACAGATAGGAGGGGGGTTAGTCTTGTAATTATAAACACCCATCAGTGACATACACTGTAGATCAGTGGTCCCCAAACTAAGGCCCGCGGGCCGGATACGGCCCGCCTCCACATTTGGCCCGGCCCCCTGAACAATACCAGAGACGCATTATGATTTTTCAGTCTGGCCACGCGAATCCTAGACTAGCCCCTGTCAAATAGAACGGAATAATGGCGAAAAGGTTAGGTAAGAGAAAAATTGATTCAGAATGCAGGGTATTTAACCTGCAGTGGTCAAACGATTATTTTTTTGTTCAATGGAAAGAAAAGGCTATTTGTCTCATCTGTCAAGAGGCGGTGGCGGTATTCAAAGAATACAATCTGCGCCGACACTATGAATCCCGTCACAAAGACAAGTATGATAACTTGCAAGGCCAAATGCGAGCAGACAAACTCTCAAAGCTAAAAAGTGGACTGTTAGCTCAGCAGAATACATTTGTACGCCAAGCTCAGCTGAACCAGTCATCCGTTCGGGCCAGCTTTCGGGTTGCTCAACTGATAGCAAGCAGCGGTAAACCTTTCACTGATGGAGAGTTTGTCAAGAAATGTTTGAATGCTGTCGCGGAAGAGGTGTGTCCCGAGAAGAAAGATGTCTTTAATGCCGTGAGTCTGTCGGCGAGTACAATCACCAGACGCATTTAAGAAATCGGGGGTAATGTATATGCCCAGCTGCAGCAGAAGACGAAAGAATTTGACTTTTTTTCATTAGCACTGGATGAGAGCACGGACGTGCAAGACACAGCGCAGCTGCTCATTTTTATTCGCGGAGTTAGCGCAAACTTTGAGATGTGCGAGGAGCTGGCAGCCCTCCAAAGTCTCAAAGGGACTACAACGGGGGAGGATATTTTCGGCAAAGTATGCCAAACCATGGAAGAGTTGGACCTAGACTGGTCAAAGCTTGCCAGCATCACGACTGACGGGGCTCCTAGTATGGTGGGCGCGTCTCGGGGTCTAATAGGACGCATGAACCGGGAGATGGAAGAACGGGGTCTCACCGCCCCGCTACAAATCCACTGCCTAATTCACCAGCAAGCACTGTGCTGCAAAGTGTTGAAGTGGGATTCTGTCATGAAGGTTGTGGTGTCATGCATAAACTTCATCAGAGCAAAGGGACTTAAACACAGGCAGTTCCAACAATTCCTGTCTGAACTGGAGTCTGCGCACGGCGATGTGCTGTACTACACAGAGGTCCGATGGTTGAGCCGGGGCAGAGTTTTGAGGCGTTTTTACGAGCTGCTACCCGAAATTAACGCATTTCTTCATTCAAAAGACAAAACGGTCCCAGAGCTGATCGACCCAGAATGGAAATGGCACCTCGCATTTTTAACAGACGTGACAGAAATGCTGAACAGCCTTAACTTGCAGCTACAAGGGCAGGGGAAACTCATTTGCGACATGTATTCTCACATAAAAGCATTTGAGGTGAAACTTGCGCTGCTTTTAGAACAAGTGAAAAAGCACAACTTCATCCATCTCCCTGCTACCCAAAACCTCTCTGCAGAGAACCCAGCGGTCCCGTTCCCAGCTGAAAAGTGTGTGGAAGCACTGGAAATGCTGAAGGCGGAGTTCGGTGTGCGATTCCGGCAACTACGTGTTAATGCAAAAGAAATCCGTCTTTTTCAGAACCCCTTTCTTGCCGACATCGATGAAGCCCAGCCTTCTTATCAGTTTGAGTTGGCCGAGTTACAGAACTGTGATGTTCTGAAAGATGCATTCAAGCCCAACAGTCTCATTGACTTCTATGCCGCCCTCCCAAACGACACGTACCCTAACATAAAAAAACACGCAATGAAGATGTTTACACTTTTTGGCAGCACGTATATCTGCGAGCAAACCTTTTCACACATGAAACACCTGAAAACTCAGATGAGATCAAGATTGACAGATGAACATCTGCATCAGTGTTTGAGACTGGCTGTGACTAGAATGGAACCTGACATTCAACTTCTCACCAGCCAGATGCAGGCCCACAGTTCACACTGATGAACATACATAGGTAATATCACTTTTCTGACTTTTCTGAGTATAAACAAATGTAATCATAATAAAATCTACTGGGATAAAATCCATCTCCACAACCATACTGGTAGTGAAATGTATTGTGCTGTGTAGGTGCTGTATCACTTAGTTCGGTTTCTCAGCCTGCTTGCTTTGTGGTTTTCACAGGGAAGTTGATGAGAGAGAGCTGCAAACAGCGGTGTCTACAAGCCTACTGGAACCTACAAAAGGATTATAAGGAAGGAACACAAGAACTTTGAGAGACTGCTCATATGAGTCATTTGAGTAAGAGATTCTGCTCTGACAACTAAGCTAAACTTTTACCTGTTAAGATTGTGCACGGCACAACAGAAAGTTAATGTTCAGTGGACTTTTTTTCTGTGAAGAACCCAGAGAGGGTTATTTGGTTATTATTTATTTCATTAATAGTGTTATTATTTATTTCCTGACTTTTTTTCTGTGAAGATCCCGGAAAAGGTTATTAATATTTGGTTATGTGTGGCTTTCTGGAAAACAATAAATGTTTACGTTTAGGCACCCCTGCGATCGTCACACTTTTTCTGTTACAAACTGACCCCGGCCCCCATCAGAGAAGGGAAAAGTTATGTGGCCCTCACAGGAAAAGGTTTGGGGACCCCTGCTGTAGATGATTGAAAGGGATCCCTACAAAACGTGTTATTGGATTGAAACAGTAGAGGATCTGTAGGTAAAATGATGATATAATCAGACAGCTATGAACTCTTCATGCTGACAGAATAGACACAAATACAGTCATTCATTTCATTCCTGATTTGGAGGCAGCTGGATAAGCAAAGTCCACCCAAAAGTCTCCTGAGCTATGACCTCCAGCTCTTCCTACGCAGTGCTATTTCTAGATATTCACAAATCTGTACTCCATGTTGGACATTCCTAATAACAAAAGGAAAAGGTGTGCATGCTGGGTATATCTTAACCATACAATCAACTCAATCAACTCAACTGGCTCCTTTCCAGGAAGAAACTGCTGTTTTCAATCTTTCAAAACACATGGTCCAATCACCTGGTGATTCAAGCTTATTCCAGCTGTTTGAACTCACAATACAACCACCCACATTGACATCAACTGGAAAATAGACACTTGATATATTCCTGAGAACGGAGATAAAGCTCTCATTCTGGTGGTACAGTGACCCATCCCCCAGTATCTCCATAGTGCTGCCACGAGACACAATGGAGGAGATGGTGTTAACTCTTTTGAAAGTCTAATAATAACACATTTGAACAGACACATTTCCGTACTGGCTGTAACACGGAACAGTTAAAACTACAGTACAGTGAGCTTGAGCAAGAGAACAAACCTTTTTTAAACGTTTGGTTATTATTATTTACTCTACATTTCTGGCCAAATAGGTAGTGACACATGAACTACTTGTGAAAGATTTTCCTTCAAGAACTTTATTATTATTTGTATTTATTTTTTGTGATTGCATATAATATTGGTGATTTTACTTTATATTTAGTTTAACGTCATGATATCATTCTTTCATTGTGTATTTACCTGTGTTGGGAGGCCTGGCTAGAGGCACACAGGAGTCTCCCTGCCCAGTGGACGAAGAGGACAGTAACGTCTTGGCCAGGAAGGCGGAGATGGGCTGCACCAACAGAGACGTCAGACTTCTTCCAGCTTCTCTTGACACCTCAGCTAGAGAGAAATACAGAAATACAGAAAGAGAATCAAGGTGAAAATCAAGGAAAAAGAGACAGATGCACTTTTGTAACCCAGTGTTATTCCAATTCCATTTCAGACGTAGTTTTGGGTCCCATTGTGCTTCTATTTTTACATTTAAAAAGTAATCAACATTTAACAGTAATAATGTATTTATGTTGTGCTTATTGTAGCCAGTTTTATGTATTTGTGAAATCTTGTAATTACAATAAAATAATACAATTTAAATCTCTTTTTCTGAAAGATACAGTCTTAGTAACATGACTCTCACAACAATAGGGACATTATGACAATAATCTAATTGTGTACAGTAAAACTTTATTTCTAAAAGGGACAGTTCCCCTGTAAAAAACAATATTTCATATTTTAACTTTTGCCTGTAGTGCTATTCGTTGATCTAGATGTATATGTTTTGGTGTGAGTTCCAGAGAGTTAGACATATCAGTCCAGGAGATTTCTGTCTTCCCTTGATTGTAATAGAAATACTGTAGTTTGCCTTTGGCTTGTGGCAAAAATATATTTTGAAAGCTTACTGGCAATATTTCTTCCCAGGAATTATAACCTTGTGATAAGGCACAGACCTTGTTGTGGTGCTGGGACAGTCGGAGATGCAAACAATGATGGCATAATTCCCGGTTAAGCTGTAGTGTTAAGCTAGCTCGCTAATGATAAGCTAACTCAGGGAGTCCGTGTGAGTCTCTTGTCAATGACCGCCATGATACGGTTGGCCAATATATTTCAGTAAAAAACAAAATAGCTCTGACATAACATTGCCAGTTCTGTGGATTATCTTGAGTGACGTGGTAATTTTTTCTGGAAATAGACATAGAGCTTTTCAAACATTTTATTGACACCTTTTGCCCCACAAGTCGAGTGTTAACTAGTTGAATCCAACCAAACAATGCAGAATGATAAGAAGCACTTCAGTTACACCTGAGTAATGTATTAAAAATACAGTGAAGAAGATATGTTAGGTACAACAAGGCCTAATGAAGCAGTTTGTTGTCAACAGATGTATTGAGTTGGTTAAATACACACATTCGAGCAGCAGACATCCCAGCATCAGCCAGCCTGAATAAGAATTATTTTATAATATATTTTGTTGTCCTTTTTAATTAAAGTGAAATAAGATCCGAAGCACATAGATGTCATGGTCTTGATATAGGAGGGATAATAAGTGGTGCGTTTTGTGATATATTGGTAACATGACCGTATGTTGCTGCCAGCAGCTTGAAAGTCAATCCAATGTGATTGGAATGAAGGAATATATTTATTAACCTTCTCTTTCAGGGACTTCTCTATTTGATTAACCCTAAATAAATAGCTGCTCTCCTAGCTATGAAACAGCAGTCAAATATAGCAAAACAACACATTTTAACTGATGGAAACACATTGTATGATGTGAGCACTTCAAATCTGGTGGTTAATTCTAACAGCTGGTATAATAACTACAATGAAGAAAATAAATGTTTTTTTATGATTGCATTTAGCAACTCATCTGTTGTAATTCTACTCTTATTGTTATTGGTACGTGTCTGGTTGTTTAGTAGCATCCTGGTGTGATTTGCTTGTGATTTAAGGCAGGATCCAAAAGACACAAATGAATATCACTTGTACAGAAAACAGTTAGCTGGTGCAGAAATAACAATGGTAACCATATCCACAAGGAAACATAACAGATATAACATACATAGAACATACAGAGGAGACTTATTGCTCCCCTCTTCAATGACTGATTCAGTTTTAAGAGTCAATTTCACTTTTTTTGTATTACCTATCAATGACAAATGTAAGTGCAGTTTTAGGTAGGGGATTTCATAATGAGAATTTGTCCAAAATAATAATATTTACTATACTAAATGTTGGAGATAATATCTAACTACCTGTGATTTCACTATCACTGACATATAATAATAACAAGGGATCACAAAGTGTAATTATTGGATGTGTTAAATACAAAGGTATTCAATTCAATTCAAATGCCTTATTGTCATCTGCACTGTAGCTACAGTGTAGTTAGGGCACATACATTCTAAAGTCCCCAGCTCCTCAAAAAATGCAACTTAAATATATATACAGTAAGACAAGAAAGAATAAAAAAAAATATAGACCAAGACCAATGTGAAAGTAAATGTGGAAGAAATAAACTATACATTTAAATTAGAATAAGATGAGCTAAAAACTGAATGTTAAATTAAATACTTTACAGTGTAAAAGAATACTGCTTATTGTTATAATAAATAATACTCTTCTGCATTTTATTCACAAGTATTCCTTTGACAGTAGGCACTGTGCATCCCAGATAAAAGGAAAGTCATGTCAGAGAGCTTAAAAAGCCAAATCTGTATCAGATCTAAGGAGACCCGCTGAAAACACAGCAAAAGGTAGAAAGAAGGAAACTAAACCTTCAAACTGACAAATTATTTTTGGCATACTCTGTAAAAGCAGGTAATAGGTGATTAAAGCCCTCATTAGTTACAATCCCTGTTAAACGTATCGTCAATGTGAGTCTGCTACGGGAGGTTAAGTCCAGATTGTGAGGCTGACTCAGCAATCAGATGGTTGTAATTCCAGCCGTGGATCATAAGGTTAGGCAAAGACATTAAAAAGGGATATGCGTTTAAAGACTGAGACAAAGAAGCCTGTCAAAGTAAGTTATTTAAATGAAATCTCGCAGTTTGTCTTGTATCTGCCCTGAATATAGATACAGTAGGTGCACAGCATATAAATACAGTGTGTCATGTATAAGTGGCATTTAATGGGACCATTCTTCTGGCATGATAAATATGTTAGTTTGACAAAACTAAATGATAAAATGGCAGTAAGCCAGTTTGAATACTTGTATGAAATGCAAGCCCTGTGTTAGAGAAAAGCTTCTCTGATATTGCTCTAGTAAAAAGTGTGTCAGTTGACTGGGGAGAGATTAGTCCAGACACACTGTCAGAAGGCTGTGTAGCCTCAGTCTGCTGAGATAAATCTAGTCGTAATTACACATTGACAAAGACTGTGGAAAACCAAACGCTGTTCCAGTTTTTATCAGGAGCATTCTTGCTGTCTCCAAAGACTTCCTGCCGCCAGCTGCACACCTTTTTGGACTGTCAAAATATATTTATAACCACGTGAATGACTGGTTATCATGGCAAAAGTCCCATGTCATTTGTTTTGTTTGTTTTTGTACCAGCTGCGGCAACGATGAAGCAACACACAGCTAAAAAGGTCTGTCTGTCTGTCTGTCTGCATAAATACAACTTCACAGATGTCTTTTTGATATCAAATTAACCTGTTAAGCCCTGAGCCTGTTTTTCAGGTCTCAGGCTCGAAAATGACATTCCCAGAACAAATGACCATATCTTCCCTTCTAAAAGGGTTAAATTAATAATCTTTTTTCTCAAAGTAATGATAAACCTGTGAGTTGGATGTAGAAAAGTCAGAATCAATATCAATATAGTTTTTTATTTTAAAGAAAATTCAGATTTTACATAGTAAAAAACTGTAAATTATAGTGTCCGTCCAAAGATTCTTTTTTACTTATAGTGAAAACCACCCTTGGATGATGGGTTAGTAGACTAAAAGCTTCAGGAATCCAAAGTACAACATATAATAAGTACCAAAACAAGTGACATTTGACCTTTTTAGAGAGATTTAGCAAAAATAAACCACTTCTGGGGTCATTTGGGTGAATTTTCCATATTTCTGGCCCCCCTTGCTCGATTTTGATGGTTGACACCTCTTTCTGACCGTTAGAGCCAATAGAATCGAAGGGGGAGTCCCCCACACACACACGTTGTGAAGAGAAAAGGTGGGGGCTTCGCGCATGTAATTTTGCATCAGAGTGGACCTATCTCTAGCTTTGACATCTGGAAACGGAAAAGCAGTTTTAATGCTTATGGATTATCAGAAATCATTTCAAAGGGACACAGACACATTGGATTAACCTATGGATTAACTTCAGCAGCGTTTTTATCGTTTTAATGCCATTGAAGACCACTTTGGAGAGACTACAGAGCCAAGGTAAACATTTTAGCATTTTTAGCTACCTAGCGTCACCTGTTTTGATGTCCGTTTTTGCTTATAACATCGCAAATACGTATAATTCAGTGGTAATGTCGGTGTCAATTGATTCTGTGTCACCCCACGATGTGAATCGATGTGTTGGATGTGGTGAAAAGATAAATAATAAGGTTTTGTGAGTGATTTTCGGTGCAGTAAGGTGTTAGCATTTTTCGCTCGTTGCTAATTCAGAGGCTCAGTGTTAGCATTGTGGGTTTTCTTTTGAAAAAAAATAAATAAATATCAGTTAGATGAGTTTCTTCCCGTTACATGGATATAAAACATTCATAGTTTTATTAAATGAACATGCCCTCAGACACTGTTTCCTGCAAGATGTTGCGGCAGTACCCCGGTACCGGGGTCTCTCGGGCTTAACAGGTTAAAGGAAGAGTCCGTAAAATGGGCGGGGTTTAAGTAAAGTCCTGGTGTTGGCTAGTGTGATCTCATGTCAAGATGGCTGTTTAAAAAAAAGAAGTTTGCTTTGTATGTGCATCATTTCATTGGTGTGAATGCATGCTTATTTTCAGTTTTCATGTCTCCTTGCTTAAATGTTCAAAAAGGTCTTTATTTTTCTCATACTGTGCTGCAGCACCACTTTTCACCCCTGTCTGAAACCAGAGCCCAGTCTGCTCTGATTGGTTAGCTGGCTGGCTCTGTTGTGATTGGTCAACCGCTTAGCATATTACATGCAATGTGATGGAGCGGTAGCCAATAGAAGCTCAAGTGTGACATAGTGTTGTCATTATGTTATGTAAGCAAACAAAGGAGTCCATTTCAGGTAGCGGCAGACCGTTAACATGCACAGAACCTACTGTATATTAGACACTTACAGGAAAGGGAAAACCCCAAAAAGCATAATAGGACTTTAAGACATGGAAACGAATGGCTCCAAAGGGCCTCGACAAAAACTAAACTAACTAAATAAA